CATCTGCAATGCAGCAACATCTGCTCTCTGGGCCTGTGTGAGAGTGTTATCTCAATGGCGGGAATGAGGATGTTGGAATTTGGCATCTCAGGCACCAACTCTTTAAGTTATTTTCACTTTGTAGAAAGTTAAAGCACAGAAAAGAAAAACAGATACATTAGAGCGTGAGATACTTTGACCTGAGGTGCGCGCGTGCGTGTGACTGTGCACGCGTGCGCGGGTCTAGGCTTTCTATCGGATTCAATCAGGATATAAAGCGAAAAGGCACTACCGTAAAGACTGGTGTAAAAGCGCAAGGAAATTTATGCGGCGGAACGCGCGTATGCACAAAATGCAACACAAAAACTGACGCGCGTGGTTTTATTCGCGCGTCAAACCCGCTACACTGACGCGCGTTTCACGCGTTTTTGCGACGCAAATCTGCTTCCGAATTTTCGCGGGACCCGCAATCGCGCGTCATCGCGCCTTTCCATTGACTTTACATGCAAACCTGACGCTCTATTCGCGTCCATCGCGTTCGGTGTGAACACACCGTAAGAGGCGGCTGGCTTGACCGCGGCTCACTTTACCGCGGTAGGAAACGCTGTGTGGTAAAGTCCTAAAAATGGAACATGTAATGATCACCGTGACGCAAACCGTAAATTTTATCTGAGATCAAGGTTTAAATCACCGTCAATTTCAGTCTTTTGTGTGGGAAATAGATTCAGAGTATGCCGACATGCCATCATACAGAGGTCCGTTGGCTGAGTTGGGGAAAAATTCTCAATAGGGTTTTTGAACTCAGCAAGGAAATCTGTCAGTTCATGGGCATGGCATGATGCGATGAAGGCATTTCAAGTGAAGCTATCACAAATGCACCAGTGCAACCTGCCTCACTTTCCCTGTTGCCAAGTAATGTTGAACCAAGTCAGCGCAACAGTGTTCACAAATGCGCACTTTGCTGATAAACGGAGCGCACTGAGTTCGCGTGGCGCTTTGGTGACTTCGAAGCACAAAATGAGAATTTCGAGCTGCTTCACAATCCATTTACAGTTGACGTGGAAACTGCACCTGTGCAGATTCAGATGGAGCTGCATTCTAATGGGACACTCAAGGGAAAGCACGACACTGAATGGTCTTCAGAGTTTATTAGTTCTATTCCTGAAGCAATGCCCCAGCTCTGTCTGCATGCGGCTCGAACCTTGTATATGTTTCATTTATTTTTTCTGGGGTTTTGGCAGCATGTTCATATTTCTAACTTGCATAATTTTGACAGGATATATTTTTATGGAGAGCAAAATATTTAAAGTTAAAGTTTATTTATTCTTGAATTATATTCCAGTGTTTTTATTCATATTTATGTTTTAAAGAAAAACATTGTTTTAGTGTGTTCAATGAATGTTTTTCTTAACTGGGCCACGACCTAAAGTGTGCCTTGAGGTTTGGCCCCCTGTGCAATTGAGTTTGACACCCCTGATCTAAAACATTTAAGTGTGACAAATACACACAAAAAACCCCAAAGAAATCAGGAAGTGGACAAATACTTGTCCACAGCCCTGAACAACATGGCTTATTTGTAAATAAAAAGTCTGAAGTGAGACCATTTGAAGAACAAGTAGGTACGCTCAGATAATTCAAAAGGAATGGGGTCACACTCTTAGTAAAACTGAGTAAAATAATGAGTAAACAACTGAAACAGAAGACAAAAATCACACAACCCTTTAAGTTTCTTTTATAATTTCACCTTTAATAGATGAAGCCCGCCTTGCCGTGAGGAAAGGCCACATTTGGTAACGATTGAAATCACCTACAAAAATAAACCCGCCTCAGCCTACGGAGAGAGAACACGATGAGACCTTCAGTCTCTCCTTCAGGTTTGTCCGCAGCTGTTGAACTGTACAAAGGCACAGAGATCGGGACATTTCAGACAGAGCTCCAACTGCAGCTCAGATCTGAAACCTTTACCCAGAAAACCCTTTAGATTTTTTTTTTTAACTCAAGTGTAGAACAACAGAGTTAGCGTTGTGTTTTCAAGCTCGTCATAAACCTGAAAAGGTGTATCGCTTCTCTATAGTGAGTCTGGGTGAACAACAACAACAACAAAAACAGCATCACTGGGAAAAAATCAGGAAGAGCTTCAACAACACAGGTCTTTGGCATTTAACACAACAGTTTGTGGATGTTCAAACCTCAGACCCAAGCGCACAAATCTGAGAAGAGAAGCTTCAAAACTGCTCAGAAAATTAAGCTTGTGAACGAATTTAGTTTAGTTTGTTTGGGTTTTTTCGTTTGTCTTTAAAGAACAAGATTTAAAGATTTAAAACAATGAAGTAATACATATTCTTACATGTAAAGTTCGTGAATGTTTTCTGAGCTGTCATTTTACACTATATTATCCTATATAAATTTATATCCAGTTTGGGGACAAAAAAATACTAAAAGTGAAAATGTGAAGCTAGTTTCAAAGAAAAGCAAAGGGAAGGCTGAAAGCTCTTAAATACGCATGAAGCGTAAAAATATTAACATTCAACAGGCTTGATGATTTTGTGATGTTTTTATAAAGAATTAATCCAAATTAGCCTAACAATCAGAACAATAGTCAAATTTCAGCAACATCTAAAGAAATAAAACATATGCTAACAAGGAAAACAGGTTTAAATAGTGTAAAATGACAGAAAGTATAAGAATATTTCAATTAAGACTAAGGAGCCAATGGTTTGCACGCTATCAGACTCTAGGTATGTTTGAACAGCCTTAAAAACAACATCTCTGAATACATACAAGGTATTATATCTGATCTTCATACATGAACACTACTGGCCCAAAAAGCTTTCCATGACATAATTCCTCAGAAATCCTAATTTCTATCAGCAGCAGGTACACGGCATCTGAAAACTATTTTCCAGACGCTGTCCGACTGCTGTTTTATCTAAAATAACGCATGCTTTTAATGTTGAACAGCCCAGGATTGTTTACAGTAAGCAAAATATTTCACAGCCAACTCTGAGCGAAATCCTACGGAAGCTCACTGAGACCAAAACTTATTAAATGACCTCACAATCGTCGACTTCTGCCACACTATACTTTCATCAGTTAAAACAGAAAAAGAATAATAAGATTATAGTGTGTTAGATGTTAAGATAAAGTAGAGCATGTGATCGCGGTACACAGGAGAAAAAATTAAATTTTAAAAACCCGTTTTCCCTGAATTCAAAGTTAAAGTGCCCCAAAAATTAAATTTCATGCAAATAGTCGGGGATGATGTGTTTTAACAGCTAAAGTTGTTTATGAGATACACAAAAAGCAACAACATGGCTTCAAGATTCAGTTACTGTTTCCATTCAGACTTTCGCATCACTTTCAACTATAAAGTATGGAAGCAAAAGAGGGCCAAAATAATTGTATTTTGTTTTCTGAATTTGTTAACCTTGAAAAAGTAAAACCACCAATAATTAAAATTATATACTCAAAGTTTTCAAATGACATACTAAAAATTAATTAATATTAATTAATATTTAAAAAGACCTCCAAATTTTAATTTCTTGTATTTACATGTAACCATTAAGTTATTAAATGAGTTTTGTCTTTGGAAATTACATAAAAGTTGGGAATTTCTACAAGACACTGAAAAAGGAATTTAAAAAAAAATGCTGATATTCTGAGAAGGAAAGGGTCAGGGTGTTTCAACTTTTACCAAGAAATGCTCCAAATCAATAGATACTACATTTCCCATAATCCAACATTTTCTAACATATTCCAGTTGGCCGCCTTCTCTTTTAAACCTTGCGTGTTAAAGTTTATAATGCTGGACTTTTGCCCATGATAACCCAGAGATTATATATAAAATTAATTAATTTAAATTCTAAAGGCCCTTTTTTGCTTCCATAATATTAACCCAGTGTTTAATAATAGAAGAAACTGGGGTTAAAACCCCTTTAAATAAAACCTCTAAACTATATATACTGTATGTTTTTCCCTCTGGTGGGATGAGGCCCCTAATAGATGTTTTGCTCCAGGCAACAACACAAAAAAATATCTTTGGTTATAACAAAAATAAAACAAAATAACTCTATAAGATAAATCAAGTTTGACACAGAAGCAAGAGAACAGTTGGCGTGTTTGACCACTAGATGGCGACAGTCTCCTACAGAAACGCCCTGCAGCACCCTCAGTTTGACATCATTTAGTACCTGCAGCTCAAACAGCAAACAGCATTTTGCAACATAAAGATAAAATGCAATGAACATTAATGTTTTGACTTGTTTGTCCAGATTATTGACCGTTTTCTTTAAAATTACCCCCCCCCCCAAAAAAAAAAATAAATAAAAAAATTCCACGCAAACAAGAAAAAGCCTCTTTGACTTTTAACTGATAGATTACATCGTCACAAAAAAATATTGCATATATATATCACAGGTTTTTAAGGCCTTTTCTTAAGAAAACCCTTTTCTCGTTGAGCCTTCTTTTGCACTCTGATGCATTTCTTTAGTTTTTCTGCCTTTAAACCCTCATGTTTACTACAGTCCTGCGTGCCTTGATTTGTGTCCCACTCTTATTTTATCCTTAAGAGAGGTTTATGAGGTCAAGGCTGCACATTTTAGTTCAAGATAAGCGTATCAAAAAGTTGCGTTTTAAATGAATGCCTGCTGACAGACGGGTTGAAACGCACACAATGCCGCTGTTTTTCCTCTCTGGTCTCAGCAGCTATCAGCACTCACAGACCTCCTTTTCTTGCACTCATTGATTCGAGGAGCTCACGTGATGCAAAAAGTGAACAAGCAGTTAATCAAAGTGACTTGCGGTTGGAGGAAACCCCGTCACGGTCCTCAAGGCCACGGTCACATTGCTTGTATGACAGTCTTTCCCATGTATTAGCTCCTCGTGCCATTTATCTTCCCTAGTTTTTGTCTTTCCTGCATCTAATGTTTCTTTTCTACTTCCTCTGAACCGCTCAGTCAACTTCCAGAAACCTGTCAAATCTCCACACTGACCACATGGTGGGGGTGGGGGGTGGGGGGGGGGGGGGGGGGTCAAAGTTCAAGCAGTTTGCTTTAGTCTATTCAGCTCATGGTTCACGAAACTCTGCTGGTGGTGGAAAAAACACAAAGGCTTCAGATCCCACCAGTTCATCTTCACTCCACATGAAAAAACAAACAGCGTTTTTTTTTTAGTTTTTTACAAACTGCAACCAAAACTAAACTACTTCCTGTTAAGTTCCAGTTAAGACTCATCTTATCGTTCTTTTACTCTTCCTATTAAAAATCTCTCTAGAGTTCCTGCATCTGTTTTCCGTTACATCATCTTTCATTTCTCCTTTCTTTCATGCAAACAATCTCAGGCTGGCTTTTATGGAGTCCTAAATGTGCCAAAAAATATGAACAGATAATTAAATTCCATATAAATGGATAACGAATATAATAAGAATTTCTTCTCAGATTCATATATTTTGATTGGACATGTTTTTGGAACGGATAAATCCAGAAGAACTCCAATCCATTTTCATTCTTTGTAATTAGAGCTATTATTATTGGAATCAGTATTTACTTTTACAACTACTGTGAGTTAAAATAACTCCATTTTATGATAATAACTTTTTTTAAATGGTCTGTCATGCTCTGATGTTTGGATTTTCTGTGTCCTGCTGAAGTCTGAAAAAACTATTCTCAGCATCTGTGTCAACAAGCAGATTGTTGCTCCGCCTCTACAATAAAACAAAAATAAGACTTTGTTTTAAAAAGAAAAACAAAAAGCAATAAAAAGCTTCACCCATATAAATTAAAAAAAAAAAAAAATGTACAGACCTTTAAAACACACAAGTTAAATAAAAATAATTCAACCTTGAGTCTTTCACAAGTTCAAAGGATAAAAAGGTGAGGGAAACAAAAAGGATGAACTGCATAAATTATGTGACAGCAGGACAGAGTGAGAGAAGAAGAAGAAGAGAGGGATGGACGGCGAACAGGGAAGAGGATGAACGGATATGGCACAGTGAGTGAATCTTTGGTGTTTGCAGGCAGACGGAGCCGAGCGGGAAGCAGTTTGAAATCTTGAATCCAGCAACCAAAATTCTGTCTGTTCGTCTTTTTTATTTGCAGTCTCTTTTTTCTGTCCTCTTGTCATCCTTTATTATCCCTTCTTCCAGGTGCTGGATCCTCTCTCCCGATTCTGTGTTCACATCCCTCCCTCCATCAAAATGTACACCAGGAGATTAAAAATGAAAAACAAAACAAAACATCCCCTTCGTCCCTCTAGGGGGCAGTAGTCCTTTTTCAAGGAGGTTATATCCTCTTAAGAAGGCCCCCTGACCTCCAGCAGTGCCTCCTGCAGTCTCTGCCGGTAGGTTTCATAGCGACGAATTACTGCGTCCTTCTGCTCCTGTTCCTCCTTTTCAAGGATCCGCAGGAAGTTTTTCAGCTCAGGGATGGAGAAGGCATCCCACTGAGGAGAAAAGCAAGAAAACTTCGCTCAGTTCAGTTTTTTCCTTTTTAATTGATAAAGTATATGTCTATGGATGATGCTTGATAGTACAGTAGGAGTGGTTATTTCTCTTTTTATGCGTAGCATCCATCTTGGGATAACAACAATGGCACCTTTACTACTTTTTAAAAACACGTTTTTTAAAAAGTTTGTCGTAGAAGTTTCACTAGGAAAACAATTCTTCTTTTTTTTAAATAGTCAGCTGCTAGGTTTGAATATAGAATGATAACAATAATGTACAATGATAACTTAAAGTAAAAGATTTAAAAGGAATGGGGAAAAAAAGACTAGGATGGTGATTGCCAAACACTGTGGCCCCCTGTTGGGCTGTAAAGGTACTACAGAATTAATTTACAGTCACTTTCTTTGCCAGTTTTTGTCATTTTTGCTTAAAAATTGCGATTGAATATTTAAGTCATGGGGATATAACAAAAAAAAAAAAAAAAAAAAAAAAAAAAAAGGTACTTGTTCATTTTCTGTCTTTTTTAAAAAAAATCATAAACTCATAGGTTTGTTAAGAGCAAATGCTGGGAGATACTTGAGATCAAACAGTTTATGGCAGGTCAGCCTCAATAAGTAAATCCTCAGAAGATCTAAATCAAATGAAAACACAAAAGAATTGTGCATTAGAGTTTAAAGTTTTGAAATGGGCCACAGCAGCGTCTCGTTTGGGAATGGCTGAACTCGGAGACGAAAGAGCACAGAGGCCAGGAAGATGTCAATAAAGCTGAAATGTGGTGATAATCAGTGTTACCATGACTTCTCCCGTCTGCTGTTCTTTCAGGACAAAGCTGAGCAGGTCTGGGTCGGGTCCCGCCACCAGGCGAAGAAACAACGGCTTCTCAGCATCCGCCAATTTGCATGTATAAACTGCAAAACACACACACACACACACACACACACACACACACACACACACACAGATTTAATTAGTCTGTACAGTATGCACGCTGCATGCAACCACAGGCAGCTGTTCCTCTGTGCACATATAAATGGATTTGGCAAAGGATGAAAGGATGGGAGCGCCATATTACCATGCGGTAGTTTACAGGAACAGACAGTGAGGGACAGATTCTGTTATTGCCAGCAATGTATTTACATCTGCAAAAGATGTAGAAGGTGCTAGAGGCTTGATTATTCTGACATTCACATATTTCCAAACCTCAATCTGAAAACTCATCGGTTTGTCTGCTGACAGCAACCGAGGACAAAAGCCGATTTTTCAGGGCTTACGGTGTAATTAGGATGTCAGGGTAGTGTGTATATTCATTTACAGACCTCCTGCTTCATCAGTGTGTTCTCAGCCCAGTGACACTTTGTGATGTTCCTTCTGCAAGGTGCCCTTTAGCCCTCTGGCCCCAAAAGTATTGCTCATGTTTAACAAAGATGCAAAGTCCTTGTAAGGAGGTTGGAGAGTGCTGGGGGCATCGTTTCTTGGGTTAACAGCCAGAAGACTCTGGTTTCTACTCCTTTTGAGCACTTTGTGTTTTAGAACTACTTAGTTAGGGTTAGGAAAAGATTGCAGTTTGGGTTAAAACCCTCACTGGCATACCAGTAACCCTGCTCGTTAACAAAATCTCAAAGGAGTGACCAATCAGCATCACTTCTGCCTTAATGCATGCCACAGCACACACAACAAAGACCGGTTTTCTGACAAAGCAGTACTAACCGACAGCGATGAAAACAGTCTGACTCTGTGTGTCGCTTACAATTGCATCTTTTGTCTCTTCCTAACAAATTCTGCATATTTGTATGTTGACCATCATTTATTGGTTTAGAAGATTTACAATTTAAGGATTTCTAACTTTCAGAAGGGATTAAAATAAAAGCAAAGAGCTAAAGAAAAAACAGTGAGCAGAAGCAAAACAATTGAAGGAGATGTTTCTGCACCCTGTACATCCCTACAAGCTTTGGTTCAAATGATTCTCTTCTTTACATATCCAAGTTCTCCTCGACCACATCGTGAGTCGTCTCGTCTCAATTTGAAACAAAGTCGAAGATGTTTCTACATTTCCAGACCGCAGTTAAATCTCAGACACTTAACTTTTCTCCTGAAACACCAGACAAGTTCATTAAAAGTCCTCAAGTGTCTGCAGTCAGGCGTCTGTCTAGACTCTGTCTTTTATTAGCTGTACGTCTCCAGTCATGAATGCAAACCAGAACAGGAGCGTTTAAAGAAGGGGGAGAAAACACACAAAAACACTCTAAATCTATAAAAATTTGAGTTGAAATGACTCACAAGCTTCAAACAAGCATCTGCAGGTTGTGTTTATAGTTTTAAATCAATGCATAAGGTTAATAAACTGTCTTCTCCTCACTGAAAGACATCGTGTGACACCCAACAGCCTGTAACAGCTGCTCATTCACAGCATGGATGTGCGCTGTATTTATATCTGCATGTGTGGGTATCCCTGGTGAGCTGTTATAGTAGGGAGAGCCTCTGGCATCCAACATGAGGGTGAGGCCCACACACACACACACACACCTCATACCGAGCGTGGCAATAGTGGCATGAAACCCCGTCTCTCACACCCAGTCTTACCCTGCTCCTCCCGCCGGTATCTCTTGTACAGGGCATATTTAGCCGGGTTGTCTGCAACTGTGAATTTGCTCAGCAAGCCGACGATCACCTGAAGACACGCGAGAAAGAAAAACACCCGTCAATATTACTTTGACAGTTCTTCTAGAAGATTTTTGTGTTGCTTTGTCGTTAATTTATTGCTTAAAAGGATAAAGAACATACAAAACTGAGTGAAATCAATGAACTTAGCCCTGTCTGTCTCTCGACTTCAACCGGTCTGTCATCAAATCTTAATTAACCTATTAAGCAGGCTGCAGTGTGTTCACATGTGTGTGTTTGCGTGTGTATTAACAACCTCTTTGACTGTGGTTTTAGAGCTGACATGAAGGGTGTTGGAGACTCCTTGGGGCAGATAGAAGGCCTCCCCAGCTCTTGTCTGACTTCCCTGCACCGTCATTGGCCTCCGCAAATCCATCTGGACCTTGATGAAACCCGTGTACACACCGCCCGCACCCTGACAGAGACAGAGTTAATGTTTTAATGTGGCCACTATGGTAGCTGCTACATGATCTCTCTAAGTGAGCCCAGTTCACCCAATAAGCCCAGTGTGACCTGCAGGACAGATGGCCCCAGATGGAGGAAGACTATCTTAATCTCATTACTCCATATGGGGCTGGGAGGAGTGTGTGTGAAGGTCACGAGTAGACAAAGAGGCCAAGAATGAAGAGAAGTAAAAAAACAAGTAGACGTCAAAGATGGAATGATAAAAAGACAAAAACGGGATGAACAAGAAAGACAAATCCTAAAGAATGAAGACGGAAATTGGACAGAAAAGGTGTGCTGAAACAGAAACATGCAGGCTTCTCATAGTGAAACTACCCATTCATCCACTCACTACTTAAAATATGCAGAGCAATCGGCTCTAAACTGTCCTGATGATCTATTAACTGCAAAAGTAACAAATATTCTCAGTTCTCAGTTTTTTTACAAATATAAATGAAAATAAACATGTAGACTTTTTTTTTTTTTTAAAGGATTGAATGTGAGCTCTGAAACCCATTTACAGACATTATTATAATGACTGTGGAACAAACTGACTGTGAAAGTTAAAGTTTCACGATGAGCATCTTGTGAATACACCCACTTTGAGTTATGACTCATTTCAGCATAAAATATTTTGGAAAGTATCATCATTATTTCCTTAATCAGTGAGTTTGTCTTTTTTCTCAGTTATAAAAAAGCAAAACAATGACAAGTAATTAACAATGGAGTGTTTAAAGGTAGCTCAAGTTCCCAACAGACTTTATTATCAACTGGAAAATTGCACAGATTAGCCTTAGACAACACTTTGTTTTAATCTTTATATAATGCTCTAGTAGTATGGCATTTGATCTCATTACATACATGCTGATTTGGGCATGAGTGACCAATATAAGCTGATATTATGTGTCTATGCAGCTTTTTTGTCCATTTATTGTCTTTATATTCTAAAAACTCATATATTCAAATGTATAAATGAATGTAAACTTTTTATTGGCCAGTTAAAATGTGATTTTTAGTGGACAGACTCAGTTATTATGTCTGGGCTCCCCTCTGAGTGTCAGACTAGAATCTACTGGCCTTTAGATGTGCCGTTTCCCATCTGTTAAGAGTGCGGTCAGCTTAACTCCTTGTCTGAAAATAGATGATTTTCCATGACTAAGGGAAAAAAACCTCAGGAAACATCCTCTGTAACCTGCCGCTCCTTCAAAAATGCTTGCATTCTTTCATGTGGTGCTTTAACGGCCAGAAAACCCCAGTTTCACCTGACATCTCTCATTTCTACTGAAATTCACTCTGAGTTGAAGTGGAGAGAGACAACTTCAGACACCTGTCACGCTGCCAATGAAAACACTGCGGGGCGAGAACAATAGCAGGAATAACATCACATCACTCTGATGCGAGCACTGAGGAATGCTGGGAGCAGGAGGGAGGCAGAAGTAACACAGCAACATTATAAACTTCAAAATCTGAGATTTAGAGCCTGCACAGCTCTGCAGGAGTCTGGAGCGTGGAACCATTAAGACAGCCCTGGTTGATGGGTTTTGTTTTTTTAAAAAGGTGTGTTTGTGTGTGCGTGTGTGCATATTATACTCACCAGCGTCATTTTAAGGTGGTCTTTGGTTAGCAAGTTGTACTGCTCGATTCTCTGCCAGATTTCCTCTTTGCTGAACTCTGTCCGCAACTCTCTCTCCTTCTCCACATCCTTAGAAGAAAAGGGACAAAGAAGGAAAGGAAACGCGACATGATAAGTCACAAACCAGCCAGGACTATTAAAACAATACATCCTCTGTTTAGACAACAGCGGTGGGACACAAAAACGAGGGAGGGAATAATTCTTTCTAATCCAAATCAAGAACCAGCGTTTTATTTTCTGATTTTACAGGATGATACACGGCAATACTACAAAGCTGTGCACATTACTCTGACATAATGTACTGTATCTCTTGTTGGTTTCAAGTGGGTGAGACAACTTTAAAACCAAAAAGATCTCTTTATAAACAAGCCTTAAAACAGATAACCAGAGCTCCAAGGTGCTCAGGGTGAGTGTAGAGCTGCCAAGAAGAAGCTCTGCTTCTGCACAATCCTCGTTTCTGTTTAAGTTCATTAAGGAAAGCAACGAGCACCCCGACAGCTCGAAATGTGTAGAGTTTCATATTTTTCTCATCATGCAAAAAAATTTAAAAAAAGGATTCGAACAAACAAGTCATGCTAACATAAATCAAATCAAGCATTTTTTTAACCTCTATCATCTGATTTTTATACTATGCTTATTAAATTTTGATGATATAATCTGGTTATCCGGTGTTCCCAGGCAGAAAATGGATGGATAAATGAATAAATAAAGCTATTTAATAGTATTAAACCCAATCATATTTAGCCCAGTTTTATACGTGCAACAAGCCAGCTTTTTTTTTATTACATATCAGCTTGAGAAGAGTAAACTTGTTAAGATCATGTTTGTTGATATAAGTGCTCTGCAACAGACAAAATGTAATCCCCACTTATATTTGTCATGAATATATTTTGTCAAAATATACCTTCCTGTGAATATAAACAGGAACAGGTGTCAAGCGTCTGCTTTTTTATTTATTTTTAAACTAACAGCTCTGACTGGAGGGCGAGTACATGACAAAAACACCTTTTTACATCAGTGTAGGTCTCATGATAAGCGACTGACTCCTAATTTTAGACTAAAACATCCTGGAGGAAAGAGCTAACACTTCATGAGAATTGCATTTGAAAATATAACAAAACAGCACAAAAAAAAAAAAAGAAAAAAAAGTGTTTTTAAGGAGAGAGACGTCTCGTCTGACTGACCGGAGGCCACGTGGACTTGAAGAGCATGCATAACCGATTGAAACAGCCTGTGATGTGTGTGGCATGTATGTTTGACAAGTCAGCCACACAACAGACCTCACTGTGAGAGTCGCAGATCACACATCAGCACTGTGGTTTTATAAATAACCCTAGAAGATAGGGGGAGGCCAGAGGGTGGGGAAGGTCCAAACTTAGGTCAGCTGATAGGAAATGTTCACAATAAAGACAAAAAGAACCAATATGAGAACACAAACATACACATCCAAACCCTTTTAATGAATCCTAAATGAGAATGCATTATATGTAACTGCAGGCTACGTGCGTAAAACTGTAATTCAGGTCACATGAAACAAATACGTTACATAATGGGTTGTAAAGTCAGGGATGTTGACCTCAGAGCCAAATAAAATGGTTTCTAGAAGCCTCTGAAGACACATGGCCGCTTTTCAGAGGTAAGAAAGTGATTCATATGTAGCTCAAATAACAGCTGTTACCCACTTTAAACCTGAATACTGATGTTTTGGAGTTATAAATGACCACGAGGAAGGTTTAAATGTTTCCTTAAACCTTTCAGGAAAGCCTCCATGTGTTACAATTGGGGCTCAGGGGAAGTACCCAAGCAACAACTAACATATAAGGGCTATAGACTGCAGTTCCTCTAGTTGCCACTTTAGGATAACTCTAAAGTGAATCAATATCCAAAGACTCCCATCTTAAAATGGCAAAAATATTTTAACATGTAAAACAAAAATCGTCTTATCCTCTAAGAGCAGCATCCTCCTTTATAAGAACTATAAGGGGGTAAATCCTATGGATGTTCTGCCTGGCCTTTGTGGTCTAACCGCTTTGACTTATCGAAAGCTCACTGCAGCTCATCTAAACTCTTTAAAAAGCCAAACATTGTCTTCCTATAATAAAACCAATTAATTGTGTGGCCGAGAACTTGACATCTTCAAATTTTAATGTCAAAAAATTATCAGCAGATTATAGAACAACGGAGTAAATAATCAGCTCCTCTCCACAGATGTTGTTTTTTTACTCCAAGTCACATAATTTTTTAAAGCTACAACTTTAAGTCTCAAAGCAGTGGATTCCAGATGTTCAAAGCAGAATTTAAACCTGATTTCTATTATTTTCTGTTTATATATGAGAGTGCCAGTGCAGATGCTCTAGACAGACTTTAATTCCCCAGCAGTCTGAGCTTACATGGGCATAGTGCAGCTCTCCGCAGCATCTATTAAAAACCACATACACACACACACACACACGCACACACACACACACACACACACGCACGCACAGCAGAATCTAGGCAGGCTTTGAAGGCACATACACCCTTATATGGATAACACACGCACACAGTGCTCAAAGTAAAGACAAGGTGCCAATACAGCATGTGCAAACACTGAGGTTTATGGCTCTGAGAAAAAACAGCAACGCCAGTTTAGGTCCGCGCTAAAGTGCTTTATGTTTAAGGATAACACTAATCTGACAGATTTACTTCTCTGCAGCTACATTTACTTTACTCTTCTAATGCATGCTTACCTGATTACAAAAGAAAATATGGGGATCTTTTCAGGGGAAAGCCTGGTTATGTTGAACTTTACAGTACACGCCTCTGAAGTCACCTCCTGACACCCTGTTGATCGTAATCTGTCTGTGTAATAAGTCCAGACACTGACTCATTGGGATTAAAGCAGATCTGATCAGTCACACAGGCACAGAAACAAAGTCACAACAGTTCGAGTCCCTGTTTCACAGATGCTTTCATCTACTTGGTAATACCTGTGTCTACCTGAGTGTCGTGACGTTGATTTTGACCTGCTGGGGTTTTTCCACCATCGGTCTCACCTTTAAGTGGTTGCTAGGTTAGACGAGTCAAAGCTTATTAGCAGGAAGTGACAGATAAGCAGATTATGTGCCATCTCAATGTGCACACGGAGAGGACAAAAATGAAAGAGAAGGTAAGATGTGAGTGGGGATATGATAAGAAATACTCCCTCAAGGGGAATCCTTCCTTCCATGACTCTGCAGAGTTTGTGTTCGTTTGTGGGAGATCGTGTAGGTCAGTAGATAACCCTGCTGATCTACATCAGCTGTCCTCACCTCATCTTAAATAGTCAATTCAATGCTTCCACACACCTTCCCTCTAATGTGTTTCCCGATAAAAGTCCTAATTAACCAGTTTAAGCAGAGAAACAGCAGGATTAAAGTGACATTAGTACGAAGCAGGCGTGTGTGTGAATGTGGGCGTGTCAGCTTCTCCACTTTGAGCAGGGTAGACGGGGTTAAAGGTAACTGGGAGGGAGACGGTGACCACAATCCAAACAAACAGGACGAGCAGAGCACAGCGGAGCTGCAACACAATGAGGTCATGGTCCAATTTAAGCGTGCAGCGAACACTCCCACCAAAGCTGGAAGAGCAACGCTGCACTGAAGGGACAGAGGAGAACAGAAAGAAGGTTTTTAAAAAGAGGTCTGCCATGACATTATTAATCACAATGAGTCAAAGAAGGACAAAAAGGCCTTTAAACATCAGGCTCCACCTTTATCACTTCACTGAAGTCTACAGTTGGTATGTGTGGGAAGTGATTTCAGTGTTTTCTAGGGAAGTCTTGATTCTGCGTCAATTCAGAAGACAGAAGTTTTAAAGAAGTGCTGAACTGCTTCTTTAGAAGTATTGATTTGCACTAAAAGCTGAATATTTTCCAGCTTTGTGGCCAAATTTGTTGGAATTTTTTTCAGACGAGTGAATCCTAAAGTCCAAGATCCTGCATTACTTGTTTAAACAGACAGGGCACCAATATATATTATTAAGTTTGTATATCAACATGATATGTCTTATTAATACTGTGAGTATGCAAGACAGTGTATTCTGTCCACAGGTTGAAAAAGACAAAAGCTATATAGAAACATGCTGCTAATGGAGCATAAATGAGGTTTGAGTGGTGGAAGGTGATAAAGGCAATATGCTCAGTTAAACCACCGAAAAGTTGTGGTTCTTTTAAGTTTATTGTATCAAGACAGGTGACGTATTTCATTCACGACAGGCTATTAAAATGCTTTCCAAGTACAAAGTGGCAGTATTTATATTTGAAGAATAATCAGTGCATCAGACCAAGTGTAAAAACAGAACTGAGTCAGCAGGGAAAAGGAAGAGAAAGGCTGTATAAAAGTGAGGAGACAGAAAACGAAGCGCGAACAGAGGAAACCCTCAAAGGGGAGAGTCATATCAGGCTTTATGTTGAAGTAATCTGAAGGAAAACTGGTCTTTTGTTTTCTCTGGATCTTATCGCGCACACACCATTTGTCTCTGTTTAGCACCGTCACGCTCGTCTGCATCGCCTGTCTGTAAACACATGACATCACTGTGTGCATGTGTAGATAAAACACGCTTAGCTCAGACTAACACTGTGCACTTGTGTGTTAAAGGTGCTACAGGCAGACTAAACACAGTCATTCACCTAAACTGAACCTATATTTTAAAGGACAACAAAGACACTTCGAGTACAGCTGGGTAGTTTTCTGCCCTTGTCTTTGACTCAGATCTGTATGTTTGGGATAATTAAAGGCAAGTCCGTTTAGCAAAACATTGACAGGAGTTAACACTGGGACACTCCTCTATAGGTGCAATATATTACATCATTCTCTCAACTCTATCCCTCCTTTATCTTCAGTGGTGCTGCCGCTTTCATGGAAAGCTCTTGACTTTTTCCAGATTCTAGAAGATTCTCCAGTATCTGTGGTCTAGTTTTAATGTCACCTGTGTTTTCCTAAACAAATTCTTAAAACTTAAATGAAAAAAAAAAAAAGCAATAAATGTTCATTACAAGCTTTTAAAGTCTGATGGGACATCTTTAAAGATTTCATTATCATCTGAAAATCATCATGAGACTAAAGAAAGCGGCAAGCGTCACTCTGGAGAAGCTTAATCATAGATTGTTTGAAATTCTGTTTTATGTTATAAAAATGAACAACGAGCCTTCATTTCTTACTGTAAACGGTGTATTTTAAAATTAATTCTGCCTGCTTCGAGGCCAGCTTCACATTTCTGTACTGACTCGATGACTACAAATCATGTTAGTTTCCCACTAAACTGAAATAATTAACCAAAAGTCCACACGGTGAACACGTTTATATCAACTATACTTGGCAATAACTTTGCACACACAAAAAGAAAGAGAAACTAGCAGCAACTACTGAAATTTATTCCCAATCTCTCTTTTAAAGCTGAGGCTACTTTCTACTAGGATAACAAAACAAAACAAAGCACCTTTTATTAATTTCCCCCCTCCACAGCCTCCCTCTCTCTGTTACTTCCTGCCGATCCATGGGGGGAAGTCGAGCCCAGCCACACCTTTCCTCTCAGCATTCCTACAGTAATGCACGTGCACATGCATGTGCAACATCACTTAAATGTCCCACAGACGTCCTCATACTGTTCTTCTGTAACAGACAGGTCGTACGCACACGTTCCAGAGTTACTCGTGCATCTATACATGTTGAGGTATTTTTCTTTTCTTTATTTCTGTCATGTCTATGTAATATTACATCGTCAGATACTTATATTAAACATGACCAAAGCTTCAAGGTCAGACGTATGCAGAAGTAATCCCAGTAAGGGTTGGGGATATTCAGACTGCTCTAAACAGTTTTTTTTCTACTCTTGTTTTTATATGATGTCATAGAGTGAGGGGATATCCCCACCTACCTGCTGTTCAAATCATCCGTTTAAGAGCTGAGATGATGAAGATTTGAGAAGCTGCATCAAGGCTACGTATAAGACAAATAAGGATTACTTTGAACACTGAAACTTGCAAAGCTGCTCCAGCAGAGTAGCTGTAAACCACAATTATCCATTTTCTATAACCACTAGCTATCATTCATTCACACTTTGGATGATTTCCAGAGCCTCGAGGCTGACAAAGCTGCTAGATGCAGTCTCTGAGCTGTTATTTTAAACTTTGTTAACTCTTCAAAAAAAAGAGTGAAAATATCCAGTGTTACTCCTCAACACAGCCCAAAGCTAAGATATTATGTACATGATTTATAAAGGGGAGGGGGAGAAGCTGCAAATAACACAGCTACCCCCAGCAAACTTTAGCAATTTCAGCTTAAATAAACAAAAACAAAAGAAACAAAACTGAAAAAATAAAGTTACTTTAAAAATGCTTGCCAGGTGATTAAACGTGTATCACTTTGACTCTCAAACTAACCTGAGCAACATTAGCTTTTTGTTGTTCTTCTGATATCATTAAAGATATTATTGCCTTTTTCTTGAAGATTCAAACGTGCTCAAAAATAATCCGCATTAAAATGAATGTAAAGATATTTACAAAACCTCATCAAAAGAGAGGAGAGTCAGAATATCATTAAATACAATCCAAACACTTATTTATAGACCAAAATCAAGTTGATAATAAGTAAAATATTCAGC